CCAACCTAGTACATGGATTATAAAATGATACAGAAGTAGCCAGGAAGCAGACAATAACCAAACACTAAGACAGATAAATATTCAAGAAGAAAATACAGAAAGGATCCCCATCACATTTAATCCACATTTAAAATCATTATATAATGTAATAGTTAAGAGATGTTGGGTCAATATAATGTACAGAAGATTTTTCAAATACTATGTAACGGAAAAGACCCCCCAAACGCAGTCAGACTACCGGGAATTTATACCATACCGCTCAGAAACCACAGATTTGACAGAGAAATGGTTTACATTGGCTCAACCAGACGTACATTGGGGATAAGGATTAAAGAACATAAGGCTGATATACAACACAACAAAACTACAACGGCTCTCTCTACATATGTGAACTATCAGGACATCACAGCGAACTTTGATGCAGTGCATATTATCCTCACCACCACCCAACCCCGAACATCTCAATTGGTTGGAGTCTATGGAGATATTTAGAGCATGACACAACACAACATGCATCAATTTTAAAGAAGAGGTGGCCCTTTCAACAACGTGGCAGATCCTGCTAGATAATAACGTTTTAAAAAGTTTACATCAAAATACTACAGCGCGCATGTGCTGTACACAAAACATTGCTCGTTTCATTTTTAAATTGGCTGGAAGGTTGGCACGTTTGATGATACAAATGATAAACTGCTCAAAAGAAAATATTCAATTCTCAAAATCCTGCTTATTATTTACAGAAGGCCTGATGATGAGCCCAGAAGGGGCATCAAAAACATTTGCTGACATATAACACAACTACTCCAGTTACAAGGTTAAAAGTAAGGGTTATTTGATATCCATTCTACCATCGAGCACTGCATTTGTGTACTGGTACTTTGCAGACTTCTTTGATCAAAGCATATATGTGGATGCTTTTGAGCCTCTACTGTCACTCAGGAGAAAACAGTTATCTCTCATTACATTAAACTAACATCTCAGTTTAAATCCTCTATATAGCATATGTTATCTGAATTACAAGTTAAGAGATTATTTGCAGCTTGTCTACTTACTGTCCCTACTTTGACATACAAATGAATATTATAAGTTGGCATAGTTGATCATAATGCCTATTTATTACATGACTATCATCAAGTTCAGTTAAGTAATGATCAGGACAAACCATTCAACCATGAAACTATATTTCCAAGGACTGGTGTTTGTGTAATTTTGGATTGAACATGATCTTTCACACAGTAAAATTTGTAGAATTCTGGTAGTTTGGTTATATTTCTATTGGGATTTGTGCCTGGGATTGAAGCATATCTAATTGCATTTTTATTTTATGACCAAACAAATTTGCTGCTTGGCTTTTCCTATTAAATATGTAAGATTTTATTTACAGCTGTAGGTTGGGTGAACATCCAAAACTCCAAAGGTATAGATGGATTGGTAAATAAAGATTTTTCATTTTTTGTTACAAGCAGTTATTAGTTTGATCGCAACAGTATTATATTTATTTGATCTCTCAATGTTTTCTTATCTAAGTTTTAAATCTATTATACAAGCAGAACAAAAAGGGGAGCAGGGATACTATTATGAGAAATGTACATGTTTATTTGGAACAGGAGCTGTACAATGTCAGAGTTCTTCTATCTCTGTAGATTTCACCAGTATAGCTTCAAAAAGATACTCTCATTTTTGATATAGATGCATTCAATTGTAAACAATTGAATTCATTGATACTGATAATGGTGATGAACTGCTGATGTGTTCAAAACAGACTGTTCCATTAATGTAAATTTCTGCAAGGTTTCTGTCATCATTTATTTAAAAAATGTTTCTTGAATGCTATTTACACCAAAGTCAGTTAAGCATTTATGAAAAGTATTGTGGACATTTTGGTTTCTGTTAATTATTGCTGTCTATTTAATTAAAGATGATATGCATACTTTTCCAGTGTTGTCTTTTTTATACACATTTCATTGATCACATTTCAACTTGTGTAGGACTCTAAAAGTTTTCTGATGTGTGGTTGTTTTACCACAATGTAAACACAGTCCTTCTAAGTGAAGTTCTTTGAAGTTAAGTGAGTTTGTGACAACCTTCTGTTTCTGTTGTGTTTGAAAATGCGACCATCATTTTGTTTAATGAGTATTTTTGTGAACAAGATGATTACTTTTATACATTTTATTTTCAGTTTTAGAAGTTTCTGTGTCTACTGCAATTTCTAACATCATCTTGAAGATTAGGTCAGTTTGTTGTAGAATTTTTTACAGATGTTAGAATCTCATAGTCCATGTAATTGCACTATTAACAATAAATGTATAACAGATTTTTATATACAAGCATTGTTACAACTGGACTTGAAATCTGCTCTTTTGGAGAGTTGTTTTGAAGAAGTCATATAACTTGAAATTGACTCACCATTATGCTGAACTTCAGAAAAACTTTGTGTTATTCTGTTAGGATGTTTTGTTAAGTGTTATATGATTTTGTAGTACTTTCATTAATTTGGCAAAAGTCTAGAGCAGAAGTGGTAAACTTCTGGCACATGTAATCAAGGCAGTAATTGGGACAAATTGTATGGAACTCACACAATTCTGTTTATTGCCTGTCTTTTTTCAATCATCTTTTTGGTTTATTAACTGATCATCCTTTTTTAATCAACTTCTTTACATTTATTCTAATTAAAGCATTTTCATTTAATTTCTTTAAATATTGTCATTTGAGGTTTAAAACTTTGACACACACAAACATGGCATATGGATGCAGAAAGGTTTTCCATCCTTGGTCTAGATCAGCGTTGTCCAACCTTTTTTTCCTAATGGGCCAAATTAGATATTTAGGTATATTTTATCACATTTCAACTTGTGTAGGACTCTAAAAGTTTTCTGATATGTGGTTGTTTTACCACAATGTAAACACAGTCCTTCTAAGTGAAGTTCCTTGAAGTTAAGTGAGTTAGCAGGCCACAAAGGTACTTCATATAAATATGCACTTTTAAAAAGTTCAAAATGTGAATATCAAATTCAAATAACAAATATATATATATTATTACAAAAAATACTGTATTATTGACAGTAAAAAAAGAAATTATACTCACACAAAATAAAAATAAATTCAATTTGATTTTTGACATTGCCTTCCTTTTTATAATATTGTCAATATCTTCTTTTATGGTACTAGTATTAATTCTAAGAATGTTAGTTAAATGGGAATCACTAACCTATTTCTTTCAGCAGTTCTGATGTTTTTCATGTATGAAAACAATTGTTCACAACAGTATGTACTACCCCACATACATAACAGTTCTCTAGATAAAACAGTTTTCTAACACCAATTAAGTCATTATGATATCAAAGAGTATCCAGTGAAACGAGAATAAGTTTTATTACATATTTTACCAAAATAAATGAAAATATACCTAAAAAATTTAGGATGCAGTGGGCCACAGGTTGGACATCTCTGGTCTAGATGGTATATTCAATATAGTTAGATTGGTAAGTAGCTGATAATGTTTCAGTCCAAGGCAGTTGATTTAGATCATTACTTTAGCCACTTCAGTTATGGTGTTCATTCCAGTTAATACTTTAATTTTGAAAAAATTGTTCACTTGCTGGGAATAGTTTTTAAATTTTTAAAAATTCAAACATTAGGGCTTGCATTTGAAGGACTTGTTAAAATGATAATTGCAGTTTTTCTCCACTAATGGCTCTGCAGTTTCTCAATGAATACATTTAGGGTCAAAATCAATTTCATAACTGTATCCCTTTTTTTCATCTTTGTCACCAAATTTTTAGATCTGTAAATAAACAGTTATCTTGGTTATCTCACATATATCATGAATACTTTATTAGCCATACAGGTTGTTAAATTATGAGTACTTGATTATGAATATGGCCAACAGTCTATACTCGTCACCTACTGAGACGCAAAAGACAAGGTAAGGAGTCACTTGACAAAATCATGGGGCATGTCAATCTGGACTTCCACCTGGCATCAGTCTACATACATAATAAACTTCCTTTTCAATCTGACTATAATTTGGTTCATGATGACTGTTAAGTCTTTGAAGTGAAAGTTATCAGATGTCTTAACATTCTGGATAATCATGAGATAAATTAATTCCTATACTCTAAGAAGAAGAAGCTTCTATTACCAATTGGATAATCCTGATGAAAATGCATGAACTTTGATGCTTTTATTATTAAAATTTGGGAGTCATTAAGGATTCAAGTGATTTTCTGGTTTTTGTAAATAATAGTAGTTACTAAATATTGATTTAAATAAGCAAATTTTTTACTTACGATGCAGAAAAATATGGCATTATTATTTACTTTTTGAAATTATGCAGTAGATTTAAATACAGTAATACCTCAGTTTTCATCAATTTTTTCGCGGAAAATTTGTCTCGGTTATTGTTGACATGCCCCAGATTTTGTCAGCATGTTTACATGACCTGCTAATTTTGCAAAAACATAGGGCAACCCACACGTTTTCCTGCTCACTGTGGCATTGTTTCTTGTCGTGTGAGCATTACCCAGTGCATCTTGCAAAACAATTCCATTGCTTTCCTTTCCTTTTAGTTTCATCATGGAACCAAAGAAAGTTTCCAGAGCCAGCAGCCCTTCTAATGCCATGTTAAATGCTATGTTAACATTCATTAGTCTTTTCTATTCATTTTATATTAATTACTTATTGTTTTTATTAGTATTAAACACAATATTTATGCTCTATAAAGGAAATAATTTCCTTGGATTTCGTCCATTGTTTTCAGACCAATTATTGACAAAAACTGAGGTATCACTGTAAAGATATTGAAACTTTGAAGTACAAAAATAACAAATGTCACTCCATTTTATTTGTTAATTTAAATAAAGCTGTTTTGGTTTTCATTCATGTTAAATTAATTAATTAATGTCAATTCTTTCATATGTTTAAAAAACTTTTTATAATTTTAGAAATATCTGACATGTATAAAAAATTGAAAACCTGAAATTAATTAACATTTGTGATTATTTTCTTTGTATTAATGTTTTCAAATAAATTTTTCAGGTTTACAGAAACGAAGTTTAAGAAGAAAATCAAAGCCTGAGACGACAATTCAAAGTATTCCCATGAGAAAATCAAGTGACCGAAAGGCAAGAAAGAGGCATATAGTTGAAGGGTATTGTATTTATTTTGAATTTCTAGGTTTTGTAATATTAAATAAATGTAAATCTGTTTTTAATTATATACAATGTTAGAAACTTTTAGTTGATTTATGAATTTAAAAGAGTTTCTGAATATTAGAAGAATACTTGTTTAAAAATATATCTAGCAATGAAAATAAAAGCAATATATAAAATATTAATATTAAAATTTGCATACAAAAATATTATTAAATAATAATTATTAATACAAATTAATTTTAACAGGTGTCCAGAACTTCAGAAAATTCAAATATTAGAGAATGATGATGAATCTGTGAAGATGTATGATGACGATAAAACTGTATTGGAAAATAAGCCAACAGACAAATCTTCGTCAGAGAAAGTACAGAGTGAAACTTCATTGTCCACTTCCATATTACAAGCTAAAATGTGCAATGTTAAGATTCCATTAGTTCCATTAGAATATACAAATCTTATGGATTCTCGTATACTAAATGAATTACGAAACATCAGAACTTCGTTGACCGTTTCGGAAGAAACTAAATCTGTAAATACTCAGGCTTTAAACAAACAACAAAACAACAAAACTTTACTGATACAAAAGAAACATGTAACTGTTCGTTCACAAAACGAAAAACAAAATAATGCATTTGCATTGTCAGAAGAAAGGAAACTTTCAAATGCTTGCAAGTTGAAAGAGAAGCAAAGCTGCAAAGACATGAAAGAATCTGTGATATCTGCGGGACATTCAAATGTTGATATCTTACATGGAAAAGAAAATCATAAAAGTGAAACATATAAAAAAGAGACAGAAATTATAAATCAAGACAGACACGAGAAACAAAAGAAATGTCTGCCAACTTCTTTTAAACAGACTAAACTTACTAAGTTTTATGCATTGAAAGAGAGTCTTAAAACCAAGGCTTTAAATGCACCATTAAATTCCATTAATTCTACAAGTAATGATAATATATTAAACAAAAAACAGGATACCAAAGATTCAAAACAGGGTAATATAAGTGTTCAAGCAGTGAATGAACATAAAGATACCAATATTAAAATCACACATGTCCATACATTAAATGAAGATGAAAACACTAAATCTTCATTTTCGCTATTAAAACAGATTAAAATTGAGAACGTTCATACATTGAATGAAGAAGAGACTATCAATTCTCCAGCTGTACCTTTAGAACAAATTAAAATTACAGATGTTCATAGTCTAAATGAACAAAAAAACATCAACCCACCAGTAATGCCAATAGAAGCAATTAAAATTACTAACATTCAAACAGTAAATGAAGATAATGTGAAATCTTCAACCACACCATTAGAGCAGATGAAAATTACAAATGTTCATACATTGAGTGATGAACAAATGATCAAACCTTCAGTTGTGCCATTAGAATTTATTAAAATTCTGAATGTTCAGACAGTAAATGAACGACAAAATACAAAATCTCTCATGGTATCTTCAGATCCTACAAAAATTTCAAATATTCATACAACAAATGAACAGCAAAATTTGAAATTGTCTGTGCTACCATATGAAACTATAAAAATTTCAAATGTTCACACAGTAAATGAGCAGCTAAGTATGAAACCACCTGTAGTACCCTTTGAACCTATAAATATTACAAATATTCACACAATAAATGAGCAAATAAGCATGAAACCCTCTACAGTATCTTTTGAACCTTTAAAAATTTCAAATGTTCATACACTAAATGAGCAACAAAATGTTAAATTTTCTACAGCACCTTTAGATCAGATTAAAATTCTGAATGTTCATTCTTTAAGTGAAGAGTCAAATATTAAGATCCCAGCAGTACCTTTGGAAAATGTAAAATTTACAAACAATCAAACAGTGAGTGATCAAAACCTCAAACCTCCAATTATCTCTTTAGACCAAATAAGATTTATTAATACCCATTCATTGAATGAAGCACAGGACATTAAACTTCCTGTGATACCTTTAGATCAATTAAAAGTCATGGGTGTTCATACAATACAGGAGAAACAAAATACTAATTTTCCAGTAATACCTGTAAACTCAACAAATCTCTCAAATATCCAAAGATTTAACGAATTACATCATTTAAAAGTGCCAGAATCTGTGGAACAGAATAAGTTAGTGAATTTTCATCCTCTCTCCAAATCAAACGTTCCTATAATTTCTACATTACCTCCACAAAATAATAATACAAATGTAATAAATGCTGTACCCAAAGTTCTGACTGTAAATCCAAATGTGAATTTTACTGTATTAGGAACCAATGAATCTCATCCAAACTTTGGATTTGTCACAGATCAAATACCAGCAGTTAATAATTCTGTTGTGACAAGTATTCCTCTTACTACAATTAAACAAGATTTTAGTAATGTAGTTACGTCGGCAAAATCTAACCTGTCCACCGTTTCAAATAACTCTCATATGCCTCTTCAACCACAAATTTTCAAAATTAAATGCCCACGTACACATTTTCCTATCATTTCTGTATCTAATGCTTCCTCTGTTCCAAATATTTCCAATGTCATTTATGTGCCAATTTCAGAGGCTCCTTTGATGAATACTTCAAATGTTTCACCAACTCCCGTGATTAATTTACCTACATCAAATCAAAGTGCATTTAATAGAAATTTTACCCGAGGTATTCTAAACACTAATATGTCTAACACCAGTGGATTCATAAAAGTCACTCCGAATTCTGCTTTACAGGAAGTTTCTCAAATTGTAACTCCAAAGATTCCTTTAGATCCACTTCCTCTGAAATCAACTGCTACAGCAAAGACCAAAAGTATTTTAATGAACATGCTGAAATCTGATGGATCTAATTTGTCCAGGATAGAAACTGATGCCAGCAGCAGAAGAATGACTAAGCTTTCAACGGTCAGTGACACAAAGACCGTTTGTGGCATTCCTGCTGCCAGGAAAGTGACCATACCTCTATTTCAAGCCAACGGTTTAACAAATAGTGAGTTGACACCAAATACAAATACTCTGAATAAAAATACATTACAGTCTGTAGTAATGGAACATAACTATGCCTTGTCTTCAGGAACTGTGAAGGAAAAATTTGGCAAAATGCCCAGAAAAGAATGCAAGTGTAATGAGACGGAGTCATCAACTAGTGATAGCGATAGTTCTACAGACAGTGACATCTTAAATTACGACGACAATCTTTTAAGATTGATGGAACCGGAAGTAGTGTTGTTAGAAGGTGCTGGGAGTTTTATCTTAACAAAGGGTGGAGATTTAAAATATCTGAAACCTTTCCAACCGATGTACTCGAGGCATAAACCTCTGAAAGACATCAAAAACGAGCCAGCACGTAAGAAACCAGCTGAATTCAACTGTAACAACACGATAACTGGGATAATCCTGGACAAGAAATCACGACCAAAGAAATTTGTACCCGTGCAACAAAAATTCGTTTTTAGAAACGGCGAGGTGGCCTCGAGCCTCCTCCAGTCCTGTTTTGTGTGGCTGGACAGAATGAATAAGGATCTTCTGAAAGACGGTGTGGTTAATTTGGCAGAAGTCCCTCTGGAAGAATTGTTTCTTCTAGACGATTACAAACCGGTTGTTCAGTCTTCTTCCAAATGTAAATACGTAAGAAACGAAAACACCAAGAGAATAGAAGAGACAAGAAAGAGAAAATCTCGAGCAACCGTTGGTGGTCCTAGAAAGGACATTAACGAAGTCAGCAAAATGGCAGAGGTTTTGAAGTTGCTTCAGGATAGACGTAAAGCCTTAGAGGCACTGAGATACAAGAGAAAACTCTTTCAAAAAAGATACTTGCCAAAACCCGATAACACTAACAGTGACAACATCCGTCAGATTCCCACGTTGTAAATTACATGTAAAACAAAAAGTGTGATTTTTAAAGCATATCTGTGTATATAAAGACTTTCTTTTGAACGATGCCACCAGTTTTGTAAACGAAGTAAAGTACTGAAGAAATGCTTTCATTTTCTTCTAGATACAGTATGTGTTGGTTACCTGCGCACAAATTGACATTTCGTTTGGCATTCTTTTGTGTCCACCTTTTAAAACTATTCACCACGAGATATTCGGACTGCGAAGAATTTATTGTTATTGTGAATGTCTGTGATTTGAAAAGAATTAAATACATTTTAATAACGAATGTTATCTGGGGTTTTGTTTTAATTTTTATCATCTGTCCGAATTGATTGATTCTATTATTTTTTTGAAGGATTCAGGTTGTAATGTAGTTTGGAACCACGTGATTTTTAATGTTTTTATCTTAAACTTCAAATGCAATTCGTGTTGTTGACAGTTAGACCTCTACACACGATATTATTTCACTTCTCGCGTTATTTAAGCAGCAGTAGTAAACGCCATGTTTTAAAATGGCAGATTTATCGGTTCTCTTACTCTCAGTTGATGGCCAAAAAATAATTTTTTTTTTTTTTCTTAATTTTAAGAAAAACTTTCGGTAACTCGATAACAAGTTTAAAAGTTAATATAAGATAGTTCTTCCAATACAAGTTGGCAGTTGTCAAACCAGATTCATCCACTCTGGGTGCCCCTTTCTCCTATAAAAATGGCATAAAAGTAAGATTGTAGTAAACAATAACGCAACCCTACAATGTGTGAGCAAACTACACTTATAAATGGATGCAGAGGGTACAGGATGTTTTTTCTTACCTGCCAAGCTGATTCCAGTAATCAAGGAATAGTTTCATGACAAAATCCTGCACCGTTCAGGATGACTCTGCAGTATGACACCGAATCAATATAGCAAATAAAGGTGTCCTTTCTCTACGGTTTATTAGCATTATTATCGCTTAAACTATCAACTTAGATAATAATTCCTACGAGAGACCCAAATTAGATCCTCAAGCTGACGAGGTAATATTCCCGACAGCAACACTACTGAGAATAGCTGGCATATTATTAAGTGTTAAAATTAAACAGTAACTGCAGGCGTATATTGGAAGAATTAGGCTGTATCTCGAGCTTGATAGAGTACTTGAAGAAACTTGTCCACTCTGCCAGACTGACGCAAAGTTGTTATAAAGGCTCCAGGTGTTGCCTACGAAGAATTAGGATCCGATTTAACGAGGAATAACTACGTGTTATATTTTTTCAAGCCTGCTCACGCTGTAAACCCTTTTGTTTCTGTAACTGTGAATGGCAGCAAATTTTTCTGACTTAATTAACAGTACGTATATGATCTGTGGCGTCTAATAATGGGGCTACCTCAAGACGGCGCGCGGTAAGCAACTCTAATAGAATCACTTTTATTTAGTGTAGTGATAATTTAAAATCAATCAAAACCAGCGCATAGGTTGCTGGCGGTCTCCATATTAGATACTGCAAGCCGCCACTGTGTGTAATATGTATATGTATCAAGGATCTTCCAAAAAAGAATCAAATCACTAAATTTGAAAAGTTTAGGACAATTTTAACCCTCAAACACCTGTTAGGACGAGAGTGCCAAAACAAATGAAAACAATGCAGGGCGTAAAAGTGTTGTACGGGATCTAACAATGTCAACGTTGCGTCATTCACACAGCTTACAACTAACTGGCGAATTTGGCTGCCACACGACTGGTAACAATATCGCTTTGTTACGTGTCGGGTTTCAGGACGTATAATTTTTCGGAAAGGTGACCTCTGGTTTATTTGGTAACGTGAGCGATCTGCCGAGGGAGATGCCTCACCAAGTCTTTCTCTGGAAAGCTGGCTCTTTCTAGATGTTACAAACGTGAAGAAAACTCCATGTGGCACATGTGCATAGAAGGAATGAATCATCACGGTAATTGACTGCGGTAATATGGCTATTATAGACGAGTCATTGGTAGAAAAATTTCCGAACATACAATATTTAGATAACAGCTCTAAAGCAATTGGCAAATTGTTTCGTTGTGCTGTGTCGTTACGTGTTCGAATATTTCGTAATTTGTCGTGTCTTGTCCGATAATGTGAATCCAGTTTTACTGGATTCACATTATCGGACAAGACACTGGCTTCGTGTATTTATTGTAATCTTAAATACAGTAGAGCGTCGATTATCCGAATCAATTGGGAACTGGGGTTGTTCGGGGAAAAACCGATATTTCGGATAACCGATTATGTACGAAAAAATATATTAACCTACCCATGTTGAAATTTTTCTCCGTTGCGTGTCGCTTCGCGTTGAATTTTCGTCAATGTTAAGCCTAACGTAAACTTTCTAAAATAATAATCGTGACTATTATATCGTTAAAAATTATTTCTTTATTTTGTACGAACAAAATATTGAAAAATATAAAAACAATAAAAAATTATACTTCAGAAGTTAATTTAGTATCAAATACGTAAAATATTTGAGTAGGCCAAGACATAGCCAAAGATTGCAGCGCCACAGCACTTGCGAAAATTTAAATTTGTCGACTGGAATTCTTTCGGATAATTTACTTTTCGGATAAACGATGGTCTACTGTATATTTTCCGTATATAATCGGTTATCCGAAATATCGATTTTCCGAACAACGATTCGGATAAACGACGCGCTACTGTATTAATAAATTTAAATTGTGCGCAGAACATGACACAAAAACATACTGTCGGATTTTTTTCCAAAGTCCTTGCTTGCACGCCTTTTCTCTTGTATACCGTGTTAGCCCCATTGTCATTAGCTTGTCCACGGCAATTGTTCAAAGAAATACTTAAAGTTTTAAGTTGTTTACATAGTTCCTCTGATAAACCAAACCTTGTACTTTTCGGCATATGAGAAAAACCAATAAAATGATCATTAATTTCAACTTCATTCCGTTCTTGTTCTTCAAGCATTTCTACAATTCGAACAATGAAAGTCAAATGTTCAATACGACTTTTATCGGTAGTACAGTCTAACTGTACTGCATAATATTTACTTTTTTTAAATTTTTTTATTATTATTTCATTTTTAATTTTGTTTGCCAACAGATTAATTATCTTCTTTTGAATTTTCCAACCTAAATAGTGATCGTTTGTTTCTTTATCTTTGATATGTCTTATATCTTATATGTTCTGACATCCTTGCATCGAATTTTGTAATTAATTCCAATTAAACCTAAAAATTTAACATTATTTTTTGTAAAAATTGTCTGATTCGTTCCACGAAGTGCATCGTTGTTTTTAGCTAAATATTGTATACAAAATAATCTTTCTAAGAACTTCACGCATCCGAATTTAATTGTCCTTGATGAAAATCGTCAATTGTGTTCTTTTTGTAACCTGTTTTATAGCTCCATAAAATCTTTAAGTGGTTTTCTCTGTGGCAACGATACAGTAGAGCGTCGTTTATCCGAAAGTCGGTTATCCGGTTATCCGAAAGAATTCCAGTCGGCAAATTTAAATTTTCGCTAGTGCTGTGGAGCTGCAATCTTTGGCTATATCTTGGGATACTCCAATATTTTTTTTGTTGATGAATGTTTTAGCTGGCAGCACTGACACTTTTGTGTGGTGTTTTTCTGAGGACTGTGTGTCATGCTGAATCGAACGTTTTTGATACTAGATTAACTTCTAACGTATAATTTTTTTGGTTTTTATATTTTTCAATATATTCATTTTGTTTTGTAAAAAATAAAGAAATGATTTTTAACGATACAATAGCCACGATTATTTTAAAAAGTTTACATTAGGCTTAACATCGACGAAAATTCAACGCGAAGTGACACGCAACGGAAAAAAATTTTAACATGGGATAGGTTATCCGAAAAATAAGTTATCCGAACCCCAATCCCCAATTGATTCGGATAAATGACGCTCTACTGTAATTCATGTTCATTTAAGCGAGTTCCAAGATGCTTCTAGTCAGAAACACCTTCATTTACTAATGTTAAAGATGATCTTGACAATTGATTAGGAATTAAATAGCAATAAAAACAAAATACCTTATCTTTTAGTTTTGAATAGAGAAGCCAGTTTCTGCAATACTTTTCTCCATTTAAATGTACTTTTGTATAATAATAAGATAATTCAATTTTCTATCTTGTTCATCTATAGGAAAATCGTAATTTGTTACTCGAATAATGTTTTTATTAATTAATAATAATCTGGTTTTCTCAGAAGGGTGTGATGGAGCCATGTTCTAGGATCGTCTTCCAATATGGTCGATAATTCTTTACTTTCCTCGTTTGCGCTAAGAAAAAAATCTTCTTGACCTTCATCATTTATAGCTCCATCTTCATTCAATAATGAAGGTAATTATTTGTATGTAATTTGTAACTCTTCTTTATTTTGTATACTAGTGCTAGGTATAGCCAGATCGTTTTCTTCGTTATCAATTTTAAAATATTTTAAAAGACTATCTGTTTGACGACTTTCTAAATCTTTTTTTATTTTCGGCATGTTTTTTTTCTGGTTACCACTTAAATAATTTCTATTTTTATCACGATCTCTACTCGTACTCGTTGCTAATGTTCTAAATCCTAGAAAAAATAGAAAATAAAACTTGAAATAAAAATGAATAGAAAAATAGAGATTAAAAAATAATATAATAATTGGAAAATTCGAAAAACTTACTTGTGTCAGTAAAGTTTCAATCCCAAGTTTTAAAGTTATTGTTGCTATAACAATGTTTTTCTCTGCTGTTTTACAGNTGAATAGAAAAATAGAGATTAAAAAATAATATAATAATTGGAAAATTCGAAAAACTTACTTGTGTCAGTAAAGTTTCAATCCCAAGTTTTAAAGTTATTGTTGCTATAACAATGTTTTTCTCTGCTGTTTTACAGTAACGGAGTGCTGAACGAAGTTAAATTAAAACACCTTGTTAAATTTTAAAAAGTACCATTAAGCAGCATAAGTTTAAACAGTTATTCTTTTTGTAGATCATAAAATCAATTAGTAGCAAAGTTGTATCAAGAAATCAAGATTCATAAGATTTTTCCAGTGTACCTTACAATTATATTTTAAAATTAAGTTTTACGTTGGAATACAAGTTGTTACATTTTAATTATAAAACATTATTATGCTGCATCCTCTTAAGCTCGGGGCCCGGGGCGGTTGCCCGGCCCTAGGGGCGGCTCTGCGTAATCATATTTGATGCTACTTTTAGCTAGGACTAAATTATCACGTTATGACTTCAAAATGAAAAAAAAATCTCACCAACTTCTCCGGGCCAATTTTATGTCGACTGTATTTAATTCAATCGCGTGCTTCTTCTAGAGC